GGAGGGGGTCGTAGTCGAGAGCATCATCCACGCAGCACGCTCGACGGTTTCGTGAAGGGGTTGCGAGGCTCGAGAAGATGGGTCTGCCGTCTGTGACGCGGAGGAAGCTCGTCGGCACGGAATTCCAGGCCCGTGGGGACGGCCGGCGAGATATCCGAGGATATTATCCCTCGGGAAGCCGTGTAATGAAACCGTTCCGGCACCCCCGTAGTATTATCCCCCGACGGCAATATAAGCCGAGGGGGTGAGCCGGCCACCACCAAGGATATAGGTGGCTGATACGTGGCGCAGCTGCACACCCACCCCCGGGATCGGCGTCTCTCTGCCGTTGCCGTTGCCGCCACGCCCCTCCTTTATGTCGCGACCCCTTACGACGCCGCGGATAAGTGGAGGCGAAAGATAGCCCGCGTCAGCGGGAACCCCCGACGTCATCGCCGTCATTAACGAATCCGTGTAATTGCCTCAGCCCTCCAAGAATCGAGCAGCCATCTCGCAACCCTTTCACCGTCGACACTGCAATAGGAAAGGGTTCACCGGGATGATTAGCCAGACCGGGGGACACTTCGCCAGCCTCCTCGCGCGATGCACCCAACGTCTGCCGGATTATATCTGCGATCAGAGCTTCTTGTTGCCGTGTCGTTCACCGACGGTTATTGCCCACTACCACCACCACCACCACCGCCACCACCACCCTTTCGAAACTCCAAAAGCTTCGAGAAAAGTTTTACCACTCGACCGAATTCTACGAAGAAATTCGATGGCGAGTGGAAGAGGTTACCAACCCTTGTCGCTTCGTTACAGATTTGGACGTGGCCAGACGCTGTCGCGTTTGCAGATGGAGAACGGCTGTAATTTGTTGGTATTGTTTAGTGAACGAATTTATTGTTGGGATGATTGATAGTTAACCTGGGTACTTTTGGTACTGAGGTACTCGCGTGGGGTGCTTATGGGCACCCAGGAAAAAGTGACATTTATTGATAATGTTGTATGAATGTCTGTATATTTTTGATATTTTTTATTTTTTTGTTAGGATTAGTATAATTTAGTAGTATAATTTGATGATACCTATTTGATGTAATAGTGTGTTATAATTTAATAGTATTTAATGTAGTAGTAGAATTTAATACTATTTAATATAATAGTAGAATTTATTTGTATTTAATAGAATAGTAGAATTTAATAGTATTTAATAGAATATATAGTAGAATTTAATAGTATTTAATATAATAGTAGAATTTAATAGTATTTAATAGAATAGTATGATTTAATAGAATTTAATATAATATAGTAGAATTTAATAGTATTTAATATAATAGTATAATTTAATAGTATTTAGTATAATAGTAGAATTGATTACTATCTAATATAACAGTATAATTTAGTAGTATTACAATTTAATAGTATTTAACATACTAGTAACATTTGATAGTACAACAATTTACAGTAACTTTCTAATTTATTTAGCTTTATTTATTTGGCTCTCTCGAAGTCAGCCCAGATTCTTGGCAGCATTTTTACCTCACATTTCGCATAAAAAAAAATCGGTACTTGTCAAGATTATTTATAACCCTCGTATGTCAAATACAGGATCAATTTAACCCACGATCGATAAGACCCGCGGTTTAATAACGACAGTCATTCGAAGACGGCGTTGACGCCGGTTTCCAACGCAAGCTTTATTTATGGGTTAAAAATGACCCCAAAATCGTCCTCGAAGGGTTAAATAGTGTTCCTCGCTAGCGTTTCGGGCACTATAAGGTAAGAACTAGAGTCTCGGCAAAGGGGGAAGAAAGGAAAGAATTAATCTCGGGTGATTCCGCGTCAGAAAAGGGGCACAAAGGGAGCCTCGGAAGCGAGGGCGTAGCGAGCTATCCTAAAGAAGACGAGGAGGAAGAAGAAGTCTCACGAGGTTCTGGGGCGCGAGGGCAGCTCTCTCTTGTGTGCTCTACGGCCGGCTTTTTCCTCGGCTGTCGGCGCGGCGGCGGCCTTTGACGATCCCGCGCGCTAGTACAATGCGCGCGGATCGTGCTCGTGCGCGCATTGCGATTAGTATTTAATGCGCACATTGTCGAAGGGCCCCGGTTTCCCGTATCAGATGCGAGGCCGCCACCGGGGACCAGTTATTAGGCCGCTGACAGGCCCATAATCCCCCGTGGCCCGTGAACCCGGGGCCCGGGGCCCGGGGCCCGAGGCCCGGTTCTCCGCAACCGAAAAACATAATGCCCATTAGCGGCGGATCCTTTCAGCTCGGCCCGCCCCGGCTATATTTTTCCTTCTGTCTGTTTCCTTTATTTCACGGCCCTCTTGCGAACCCGACACCAGGGTGCTACTGGGACCCTCGCGCGCGCGCGCGCGCGACAGAGCTCACGGTCCTCTGATCGCCGATAAAGTTTCGTAATCGCGGCTCCGAAATCTGACGTCGCGGTCCCGAAGAAGTCACGAGTTCGAGAAACACAGCCTCCGACACTTTTCCCACCCTTTGTCCAACCACTGCTGGGACTCTCTGGCTCGAGATGCGTCTCGAGATTAACGGGATCCAGAGCCAGAGATGGGCAAGATTAAATTTCGACGACGGATCGACGATAAAGACGGATCCAATTTTGTTCGACGCTGACGAATTGATATTCGATCGAATACAAACTCTCGTCTGGATAGAAAATTCATTCGAATACAAATTCGTATGGATAACAAATTCATTCGAATACAAATTCGTCTGGATAACAAATTCATTCAAATACAAATTCGTCTAGATAAAAAATTCATCCGAATACAAGCTTTTGTTCGACGCGATGGAATACAAATTTTACTCGATAATTTATTCGAATACAAGTTCTTATTTGACCCGATCGAATGAAAATTTATCTAGATAAATATATATGCTTGCATTTTATTCGAAATTAATTATTTTATTGAATTACTTTATTCGAGTAATTCGAATAAAGATTCTTGCGGAAAATGATTGATTTATAAGAATTTATCTGAATAATTTATTCGACTAACAAGTGTCTATTTGACACGATCGAATGATTCGAAATCGAAGTAAACGTCTTATCGTCAATTTCGCGAGCCGATAGAAAGCAGCTGGTTTCAGCGGCGCGCGAATCTAACGTTGAGGCAAAGAAGAAGAATCGGATCACTTATTTGCACGTTTATATTTTGTTTCAGAGGAGGTGCGGAAGCGGATCGCGGAATTGGAAAACGGTGAGTCGTAATTTCAGCATCTCGAAACACTTGCACGATTTCCCGAACGGAAAATTCTAAATTAGTTTGAAACGGCTTTTTCACGGCGGGTAAGAAAGAGATCGGAGGTAAACCGCTCGACGAGTTAAGAGAGCTAACGAAGCCCTTTAACGAGACCACGAACTTTCGCGAACGTCTCGCTAGGTTAATTAGAGCCGCGATAGAATATCCCGACAGCGGCCGATCCCCGAATCGTTTTGTTTCGTTCCGAGCGGATGCGAGATCCGCATTACTCCGGGTTTCCAGGTTTTTGCCTCTATTGTTGCCGGCCCGATACCGGCTCAACGGATATTACGTAACATATTCCGATCCGTTTGAGCATGAAAACCCTCCGCGGTTATTATATTTAATAGGAGCGCGAGCCGGTGCGCGCTCGCGCGATTTCGCAACATCTGCTCTCACGAGCACCGCGGTGGCTGCAACCCCCTTCTCCCCCTTTAAAAGGGAAACCTTGGTCCGCCATCGATTATTTCCAAGGAAGAACTCGTTCCCGAACTTCTTGCGCGCCGCTGCCTTCGAAATAGTTTCGGTTTCCCTCTTTAACGGACTTTCCCCCGCGTCTCAAGATTCCAATTCGGCATTATCTTCGCGGAACAGGTCGAAAGACACCTTTCAGGATTTTAATTTGACACTGTTTTTACCGAAGAGGTTGAAAGACACTTTTTGAGATCTTAAGTTGCCATTGTTTTTAGCGATACGGTCGATAGACATCTTTAAGGATGTTAATTTTACAGTATTTTTAGAAGAACAGTCGAAAGACATCTTTCTAAATTTCAATTCGATACTATTTTTATTAAAAATGGTCGATAGACATCTTTAAGGATGTTAATTTTACAGTATTTTTACAGAAACAGTCGAAAGACACCTTCCTAAATTTTAATGTGACAGTATTTTTACCAAAACTTTACCAAAAATTTTTACAAAATCGTAATTTTTAATTATCTTCTAAGATCAATCAGGCTTTTCCTTGATCATTCTTCGATTGACGATGTTTATAACAATTCTGAGTTTCATTCAGCAATTCTTCAAAACGCTTTTGAAAATATTTCTTGCAGACTTATTAGCCTTTCTGTTATTCCGCAGCATCGATTTATCGTTCTAATTGAATTATTACTGTAATTGAATCATTATCGCGATTCAATTATTATCGTAATTGAATAATTGCCGCAAGCAACGCGCGCATTCAATAAATCACTGCTAATAAACGTATCCCCACAATCCGACGAATCGGGAATGAAAAAAAAAGCAAAAATTAGCGATCATTTCGACGGGTTCCCTAAATCTGCAGTTAAATAATTTCGAATCGTCGGGAGACAGCGACCCCGGGACGAGTTCAAGACGTTGCTGAATTAAAATGGCCGACAACGCGGGGATCCCCGCGTGCAATTTCGTTCGCGACGTGCACCACGTGTGCGGGGTAGCGATTAAACGTAGGATGGGAAAATTGCCGAGTATCGAACGATCCGGACGACGACACGCGTTCCCCGAAAATACTGGCCGGGCACCACCATGCCGGTCATCATATTAATATCGCGGTTAATGTGTAATGTGTATCAGCTCCGCGGATTCGATTGTCGTTTCATTTGGACGCCGGTGACGCAATAGCTGCCGTTAATTGCCACGGTAATGACGAATCAAACGTCCTACGGGTATTTTGCGAACAATCCGGACCTCGGTACGACGATCCAGATTCTCCGGCTCTTGCTGGATAGAGTGGACTTTGTACAGGGAATTTTTCTACTACTATTTATTTATTCATTTATTTATTTCTGAATTTGATTTTTAGAATTAGCGGAACTTAGAGTGCGAATCATGTCAACTCGAGCTTACGTAAAGGTTTTAGTTCGAGAGGAAATTATAGACAGCAATTGATAAGAGAATTATAAACACATTTCGTTGTTATTTCATATTTTTCTTACAATTTTCTAATCAAGCATTTCTCAGCCTATGTTTATACGACATTTTTTCCTTATTTTCGCTGATAGAATATGCTCCGTTTGGCCACCGTTTGACGTAGAAAAAACAGAGACACCCCGTATAACGATAGTTCGACGGAGTGCTAGAACCGTCTAAATAGATCAATTAATGCGTAGCCCTAATATTTTTATTATCAACGATCATTCGATGGACGCCTGCGTAAAAACCGCGAAGCGTTCTTCATATTTCTCAGTATTTAAATAAAATCGTGACGTCTTAATCGGGATTCAGGAGTGATTGCAAACAATTACCCCAAAATATCGGGTCAGTCAAGGGTCGTCGTTCCACCAGTTAACGCTTCGCACACGTTGTTCTAATGTCAACAGCGATACGAGGCGCATTCGACGCTGCAAAGCCGACAGATTTCAGACGGCGTTCCGCCACGGCGAAATAAAATTCGCATCTCCCCCCGAAATAGGGAAGTTCCTCCGGGGAATCGGCGTATCCGCATCAAAGCCTCGGAACACCCCCGAACAGCTCCGAGAAGCCGCTATATCCTAAATTAGATCCCCGAGAAGTTGTTAGCGCCGCAACCCGAACAAACGACGCGTTCCGCACAGCAAGAACGAGGAGATGGCCGATGCCGAGCCGTCGACGAGACGGCTAATAATTTCTGATCGCGTGTGCCGGGATCTAATAAATAATCGAGGATTGCTCGCGGCTTGGAGGATCATCGGTGACCGAACGTGCAACCTGCGACTCGAAGTTGGCCGCGCGACGAAGCAACGCGGGGGTGCGTCGACGTCGAGTCCGGGACGCGGGCGGAAGAAAAACCGCGGGCGGGAGAATAGAACGGGAAGAAAAAGCGCGGAAAAACCTTGGGTTCGCACCCTGGTACGAACGCGAGACCGTGCGTGGTCCTGCACGCGGGGCTGCATGGACGCGCGGTGGGGTGGGTAATGTCGGGAAATGCAGCTAACGAAGTTTACGAAGACACTTAACGGAATTACGCCCTCGCCAGCAATGGCCTCCGCGAGCGTGCGTTCCCCTCTGGAATCAACCACCCTGTTTCCACCCTGTCTCTCCCACTCCGCTAGGCAGAGTCTCTTTCTCGGTCTCTCTCTATCTCTATCTCTATCTCTATCTCTGTCTCTCTGTCTCTCTTTCTCTCCGTCTTTCCCGCCCCGTGCAGCTTTCTGGTGGCAAGGGATCGTCGCGTTAATTACCGCGAGCGGAGGCAAGAAGCCGGGGAAAATCGCGGCGAGAGAGCGCATCATCGTCGTGAATATAGTCCAGGCTGGCTGGCGAAAGGTCGCGAAAGGAAAGCAGCCGGAATGGGGGCGGCGGAGCGGGGCCGAGGGGTGGGACGTCGTGTTGCGAGGGTGGCCTCGGGCGAAACGAGGGTGGTTGGCTCGGTTTTGCGTCGAAGAAGGGTGTTATTGACATGGTGGGTGTCGCGTCGTCGGCCATCTTGGCCTGCACCCTCTCCTCCGAGCGGGTCGCTCTCTCTCGCGCGCGCCTCTCTCTCTCTCTTTCTCTCTCTCTTTCTCTCTCTCCCTCCGGCCGCTACCCTCTCCGCGCTCCCTCGCTCGCTCGCTCGCCCCTCTGCAGGGCCGCGCGCGCCCCGCGCAGCCCCTCTCCGGCCTATCCGGCTGTTCGAGCAAAGCTCTGTCCCCATCGCGGCCAGGACATCCTTGTGTCCCCCTTGTGTCGAGTGACATTCGGGCTATACGCCCGGCCTAACCTGCCCGACAGACGCCCTGGGCCACCCTTTTCGACCAACCCCGGCGACGAGCTCCGTGGGTCCCGGGGGTTGCTTGTCGCCATGGCGACCGAAACCCTCGTCGCCCAACCCCCGTCGGCCAAACACCGGTTCCTGTCCCTCGGTACACACTTCCCTCTTCGTTTCTCGGTGTCTCCGCTCCTCGAGTCGTCCCACACCCCCTCCCCGACTACCCCGAGATTTTTATGCCGCCGCCACCGTCGCCGTTCCCTCGCCCCTGCCGCTGATCGTCGCGTCCCTCTTCGAACGGCTCCTCTCGAACTCTTTCGCCGACGCCGTCACGACGTTCTTTCCTTCCTTTCTTTCTTTCTTTTCTTCTTTCTTGCTTTCTTTTCTTTCTTTTCTTCTTTCTTTCTTTCTTTTCTCCTTTCTTTCTTTCTTTCTTTCTTCCATTCGTAGTTCCTCCGTTCGCCTGCCGGAGCCGTCTCGATGTTTTTCCGCCGCGTGTTTGCCTTCCGAACGGGTTTCCTGTCCGCGGAATTATTCTTCGGGGATTATTTGATCTCCGCTACCCTCGCTGACCGAATTTCTAGAGACTGCGACCGGAGCTGCGATGGAAACCGCTACAGCTACTCTAGCTTGCTCGATTAACCCCTATGTCAATAACCCGGCAGCCTCCTGCACTTTCCCTTCGGAATATTGTTCGTTCCCGGGGAAATTGTTATTACTTATTGACGGGCTTGTTACTTATTTAACCTTCGAAATCGTGCAAACGGAATGCACGTAATGCGCGGAACGACATTTTACGAAGAGATTTTACGGCTCGCAAGATTAGTATAATGGCCTGGGGCGTTTGCAAAGAAACATAACATTTTTTTTTTGGTACAGCTCTTGTGGTATAACTTTGTGCAGTATAATTACTTGTGCGGATCTTCGTGCGAGGTAAAAATGATCGTCGGTTGCAACAAAGACGAGTCGAATAAGAAATTTCTTTTCTTTTTTGAATAACTGCGTCGGGATGAAAATGATGGGCAGACGTTCTTAGATTCTTTAAATATTGTCATTGTTTGAAATTTCGTCCGCACATTTTTATTATAAACACGTAAAATTCGCAACCCAATTATGACCGATCCAAAAAAGTTCCGAGTTTCATAAAAATATTTTAACAGTCAGATCGTCGTTGTTATTTCCTGTCGATATCTGTTTCGAGTTTGCGATTTCGTTCTCAGAAAAGTACTAAAATTAATCGAGCAAGTTCGATATACGGGGTGTCCGGCATTTTTTCGTACTTCGGCAGCGCGTAAAACAAGGCTAAATTGTT